TCCAAAGTTGAAGTCCATTACATAAAATTCTGCAATTTTCCAATCACCACCATCATACTTTATGTTGCTTGTCATGCCCCCTGTAGACACCAGTAAGCCTCGTTCTAACTGGAACTGRGATGCATAATTTCCAGAGTGTTTCTGTTCAAACCATTTATCACAGTGCTCACTCCAGCAGTACTCCCCTCATTCGTTAAGTCATGTGGGACTTGAGGAAGTGAAAAGAGACTGTGATTCACATTGAAGTCATTCGGTAATTCAAGTTACGGGTCATAATAYAGACCATTTGCTTTACTTAAAGTTGAGTTAGACAATCATTTTTGGTGTCCTTGTGCAAAAATTTCCTAACGGCCTTTCAGCATACGGTAATTCTAGTGTGGAAACCTAAGCTTTGGTCGATRCCCGTTGGCTGTGTTTGCAAAAAGACAAAATAACAACAAACCATTATAAAGAACATTTTGGCCACGAGCTCTTTGGGGAAAGCACGTTTCTTGTGYCTGTTGTACCAAACACACATGCATGTCTTTTCAGATAGTGGAAAATCTCATTTAATTGTGAAAAATTCCACATGGAAAAGGACTTTTCAAAGTTTGACAACCTTTTTTTAATGCGACACAACCCTCAAAACAAAAGAACTGCCTTAAACAAAACAGAGCCTATAGGGAATGTGTGTCAAACTCAAGGCCTGAGGGCCAAATGTGGCCCACAGATGACTTCTGTCCAGCCAACAAAATTTCACTTAATTTAGTTAATTTATTTTATTTATTTATTTATCATTATTTAACCAGGCAAGTCCCATTGAGATCTCAGATCTCTTTCTCAAGGGAGGCCTGGGCCTGAAAGCAACCTATTGTACATGTTTTTAGGATGTTTTTAGGGGTTATAATAAGAAAATAGTTTTTAAATAAATGTTAAACTTTACATTTATGATGCAATGCAACAAATTAAAACTAATTTAAAAGGTGAAAGATAATAATTCATGTCCTGTCCTTGAGATGTTGGCTTTAAATAACTGTGGCCCTCTGAGTAATTTTGTTGAATAACTCTGCATTAATGCCACAAAATAAGCTGCTTTACTGCCAGCATTGACCATAAACTACATCGCTGATAGTGCATGTTGATTTTGTATGGGAGTTCCCAGTTGGATAGTGGGAGGATCAGAATTCAGTATGACAGCTACTCACCACAGCTCAACAATGAATAAAATTACCTTACTTTTACATTTAGTTGTGTTTCTGTATTATTTATTTCACATTAGAGCTCAGTTATTGTTAGCAGTGCTCAACCTTAGCACTGAGATSAGGAACATGATGTTTCCTGTTTAGCTGAAGTTAACATGAAATGTTTAAAGTTAATTATAACTGGTCTTTTGAGGGCCACAATAACACTCARGTGGCTCTCAGTGAAAATGAGCTTGACCCCACTGCTAAAGGGAGTCAGATATGCTGTATAAATAAAGCAGAGTTTTCTGAGCAATGTTAGTTTGACAGCATGCATCTAAATACTATCACAGACTGAATACATCCCTCCTCTTTGTTTAGGTTTGTGCTGTGCCCCACTGCACAGTAAAAACAGGTCAGGCCCACTTAGAAAACATGCTCAAGAATGTCAAGAACCCAACCAAATCAAACATCTTTGGGATGAAACCCTGCTACTTAACCCTCGTGCCCCACAGAATCTGCTGTCAGATAACAGAGGACACCCACAGAGTTTCTTTGGTGAGATTTGGTTTGGAGGACTTAAACAAAATAAAGCAGGTGGTTTTAATGGGTTAGATTGAACATCATTGACTTAATTTCCAAGGCATTATAAGTACATGCATTCTTCTAAGTTTATGGCTGAAAATGCTGGCATTGTCACATTTAATGTCCTCCAACGCAACCAGTTTATACTCAGTCGCAGAAATCCACAAAGAGCTTCAGACAACTAAATACTGCTCATTCAGACATTTACTGGCTGAACAGCTGCTATTTCTTAATGCTTTAGAATCCATGACAGAAGCAGCCCACTTCTATAAAATCTTACTGAATGAGTAGAAGAAACTGTGATGGTTTAAAACAAGACAAATGGGAATAGAGGGAGAGAGGGATAGCCAGCCCATCCAGAAAGTGGGGAAGTTGTGCGAAATTCTCGGAGACTTCGCAGTGACTCATAGGTCAAGGCCCCCATGTCTGTAAACAGGATTTTTCTCATAATTCGAGCACTGACTCACTTGCTGCTCTCATACACTTCACTTTGATTCAAGTGGTACTCCCTGGGAATATGGGGGAGAATAAAACTGGGGGTAGTATAACAGTTATCTTCATCAGGACAAGGAGAGTACGTGTGAACAAACGTGCACACTGAGGATGCAGCTGATAATTATTATGATCTCCTGATAATCTCCTGATATCTCCTGGTGATGAAACGTTCTCATGTTTTTTGTTTTAATCATGTAGGTTGAAAGGCAGAGCCCAGACACCCTGCGAAGGAAACTCATTTTGGCCGCTTGTATCCGCGATCTCATTCTTTCAGTCACTACTCAAAGTTTGTGACCATAGATGAGGGTAGGAACATAGACTGGCTCGTAAASCGAGAGCTTCGCCWTATGGCTCAGCTCCCGCTTCACCACGACAGACCGGTGCAGCAGCCGCATCACTGCAGATGCAGTACTAATCTGCCTGTCGATCTCCCGCTCCATTCTTTCCTCATACATGAACAAGACCCCGAGATACTTAAACTCCTCCACTTGGGGCAGGACCTCTTCCTGACCCCGACCAGGATGAGGCATTCTACCCTTTACCYGCTCAAGACTATGGTCTCAGATTTGGAGGCACTGATCCTGATCTCGGCTGCTTTATACTCAGCTGTGAACCGCTCCAGTGAGAGCTGGAGATCATGATCTGATGAAGCCAATAGGACCAAATCATCCACAAAAAGCAGAGATGTGATCCTAAGGTCATCAAAATGGATCCCCTCAACATCTAGGCTGTGCCTAGAAATTCTGTTCATAAAAGTTAGAAACAGAAATGGTGACAAAGGGCAACCTTTTACACATGCACACACACACAAACACACACACACAATGGATGTTGACATTGTTCCATTGCTACTCTAAAATTGTCATTTCATTGTTTTAAAAATATTCTAAAAATGTTAAAAAAAAGTGAAAAATATAAATATTTCAAATAGTAAATTCTTCTTGAATGTAATAAATCATAGTAGAAAATATAATATAAAATGTTATTTTGAATCAAAATGACAAAAGTAGCATAAAAAAAACATTGATTCTAACACGGGTCAAAAAAGACCCACTTACGGAGGGTCCAGTCACTCACACATCTAAGGGATAATCAAGTTAGAAAATGACTAAAGCATTTGACTGGAAACCTTTTGTTCTTGTTACTTTTTTATTTGACAAAAAAAGTTATTTGTATGAAGTAATTCACATCTTCACTTAAAGCGATGCCATTGCTTGAATGATAAAAAAGAAGGTAGTCAAATGTTTTCGTTGCACAATTTGTCTCGTACGAAACAGGTTCATGACCTAGGAGGTAACTCCAGATAAGTTTGTCTTTAAACATGCTCACTGTCCTCCCAACAAACACGCTGCATTCCTCACATTCTGGAAGGAACGTGTGCAGGCTCCTAAAATGTGAGGTGTAAGGGGCTCTACATATTCCATCCCACGTGAAGATGTCTGATCACCGTCACTTGGTTGCAAGACGTCCAGTTGCGGGGAAACCCTTCCCACTGCTGTCACAAGTCACAACACAGGGTCCTACCTGCCAGGGTCTCCACTCCATTCCTGCACCTGCCGTTGGGACACAACTCTGTCACGGACAGAGCGTCACACTTTTTAGCAGATGATCTCCTCCATGCACAATAGTCGTTTCGTACTCGTATGGAGCATGAAGCGGCCATATGTTGTGTGGGTTTGAGATTGTTGCAGTTAGGGAAAACTGTTTTATATACAGTTATAATCATCAGGCATTTGTGACCTGTTGAGAGTATTTCTCAGAATCACCTAAAATTATCATCCAAATGTAACAGCTCCTAAATGTGTAATAGTTAAAACATTATGAACAGGAAAAAGTATATTTACACACACACACAAACACACACACACAGGCGTTATTATCGTGTTAAAGAAGTTGACGTTTGACGGTGATAACTATTTTAATGAAAGTCCATTTTTTACTTTATAATTATGTCGGTTCACTGACTATGAACACACACATATACCTAATAGTTACGGCGGGGTGGGGGGGGATCTTGATCACTATTGGTTCAAGATGAGCATTGTCGCGCATCTCAACCAATGAGAGTCTGTGTTGGACTGTTGCCTAGCACCATTCAGCCACTCAAATCTACCTGCGTTGCACGTACAAGGAAGAAGTCACAGGACTTTGTTGGCATTTTTCATTTTAAAACTCTTCCTGATGACGAGCTTCAATTTAAAACCAGTGTAACAAACAGAGGAGAGTTCTGCAAATGAGACTGACGAGTGTGTGGTAAGAATACAAAAGACAAAGTAAGACGTTTGATTTATTGGTTTAAAATTTTTGAAAATGCAATGAATCTATTTTATATAAAACAGTTCCTGAAAAATGCACTAACCATCTTTGAGTTGTAATTACATTTTGTGCATAATAAAGAGARTAATCAAGAATTCAAGGAGGTTTTTTGTCATTATTCCAAAGGAGTACATGAGGAARGAAAAAMAGATACTGTGGTCCCAGTTGTCAGCAATTAAAAATAAAATTGCAATGAGCAATATGAAGACAAAAAAAGCACAAAAATGTGCATAGTGTTAATTGCAATTAAAAATGTTAATAGATCTGTACCACCCACAATCACATAGTTTACACACACACAGATTTCAGCAGGATCAGGTGTGTCTATACTTTTTTAACAGCAGAGTAAAAACAACAGTGGCATGAAAGTATATGGAGAGAAATGCATGTATTGAAAGCAAAGTATGTATATGAAAGGCAAACCTTATTTTAATGAAAAGTAAAAATCCCACAGCAGTAAAGAAGAAAAATAAAGTGGTAGATTGTTGTAAGTTCTAAAAGCAGAAAAAGAGGCAGGCAAGACTTTAAAAGATTGTGGTTATAGATTGGCTGTACATCAAGCGGGCAAAACTGATTTTAGGAAAACTTACTGAGCCAAAAAAAAAAAAAAAAAAAAAAAACAGAGGAGAAATACAACTGGTAAAAGAAGCCAGTGGAAACAACACAGTGATGTGAAAGTTAAACTTCAAGTGGAGCGAAGTGTTTTTAAATCTTTTCTCCCCTGAAGGCGTTTTTGGAAGCCTCTCTCATCAGTCTGGGCAGGACTCATTTGTCCTGCTATCCCTCCCATCTCTCCTCCTTTTCCCCTCTGTTCATCGCACAGAGTGAAACTAGTGCCACACGATAACTACAGGTTGAGAAGTGAGTGAGGGAAAGGGAGACAGACGGAAGAAAGAGGAGAGACGGCCACACACCTCACACTCTGGAGTTTGGAGTCACTGTGCAGCCAGGAAAGGTGAGCTGAGGGAGACTCCTCTTTATTTTCAGCCTCCTCTTTACCTGCTTGTGCAGATTCATCTATATATTTACGTGTCCAAAGGCAAGCATGTCTATATGTGAGATTTTTCTTTGCATCATCCTAGTGAAGGCTGCTATTCATGTTTGAGCGCGTAGATCACTTTTGTGTCAGCGATCAGAATTTTGAAGTGTGTTTGACAGCTTTGCTTTTCCAGGATCACAGTTTGGTGTGTGCATGAATCATGCTGTGAAGACACACTGTGAAAGTCACAGCTCACAAGGTGCACATGCACAAATCTGCACATGCATTTGGTTTATTTTAATTTAGCTTTAATTCATTCATTCATTTTAGAAAGTTCCTGAAATGTGGAATTGTTAAGCTGTATTACCAGTGGACACCAAGTGAAGGACAGAGTCAAGATCTCATCTGGACACAATATGCACGGGCTGCCTGCACAATTTACTGCCACATTCACAGCTGATTGATTTTTAGCTAGAACAGCTCTGTATTTGCAGCAGGCGTTAGCTGTTATGATTGTGACAAGAAGCAAAACTGGGCTGTAGAAGACTGTAGGACTGTTTTTATAAACACTTCATGCTTGGAGGCTTTATATTTGGAGTTTCAATTTCAAGAAGTTGCTGCAGCGCCAGTCCTGCTCGTACCTGTTGGCTATGAAACTGTTTACAAACGGCTCTTCATTGACACTTTTTTTTAAAACCTTTGTCTCACATTCCCTCTGTTTGATTTAGCTGAATGTTGTAGTCATCTGCTTTGCTTTCAGCATTTTGCTGACAGCTCGGGGCGATAAGAGCTTCCAGGGTGTGGCACGCGACCATATGTCGGCACTGAGGTAGTGCAGATAATGAGTTCACCTTGGAATATTTGAGGTTTTATCTGACTCGTGTGGCCCCGACCAATCTGCCTTAGTCACTTCTCATTCGGAAGCCTCCCTTCCCTTCCCCTCCCCTCTCTGAAAGCAAAGGCCTGCCCAGTCCTGCCAGTCTGCTGCCTTGTGCCAGCCTAACTACCACACTCATTTAAAAGGTGGAAAATCATACTTACTCCTGCCAGGTGTGGCATTCCCCATGTAAAATGCAATGCTGTATTTTGCCAGGTGTGCCATCAGCTAGTCTGAGTAAAATAGACAAGAATGTGTGGCTTAGTGTGTGTGTGTGTGTGTGTGTGCGTGCGTGCGTGCGTGCGTGCGTGCGTGCGTGCGTGCGTGCGTGTGTGTGGAGGGTCGATAAACCAATGAACAATATAAAGTTAACAGCTGCCTGTACTGATCTTTTTACCACCATGTGTGCATATTTCAAAGTTTCTGCCAAATACTTGTAGTGTTGAAGATAATAACTTAGATTAGTGTGTTCTGCGTCCAAGAGAAACAGGAAGTGCATGTGTGTGTGTGGTTTTGTGTGTGTGTTTAAGACAAACTGAGCAGTTGTAAGGCTATAAACCTTGTTTAATTTCCTGCAACGTTGCGGACGTGAATAAAATATGCAATGCATAGATTTTGAGGTCTGCTATATCTATCTTGCGTAACCCTTCTCTCACAATAGGAGCACAATTACAGTGTCGGAGGAGACAATTATAAGAAGTTGCCAGATTTTTTTCACCAGCCAACAATTAGAATCTTGTTTCCAGCACCGAGGGACTTACTAGGTATTCCTTTAAAACCTTTATGAGAGCATTGATTGATTTACGAGATTGGATGCATCGGAACATCAGGAATGCAGATGTACAAAGACAGATTTACAGAATTCACTGAGAATAAAAATAATATGRGAGGGGTGTTTGACGTAAATTTCGTATGCACTGAAAACACCGGCTTCGCTAAAACAAAAGAATGAAGAGTGTCACTAACAGCCAAAGGCAAGAACACGAGCCAAAATAGTGTGGCGGATGGAAAGAAAACACTCAGTGGAGCAAAGAAGTGAAAGAAATTCCCCATCCAGCTGTWTGACAGAAATTTTGGCCTGTTAAATTAAACTTTACGCTCATTCTGTGAATGCTGCTGGGATGAAAACCATATCAACACATTAGACTTTTTACCTCACCTCACCTCCCTCCATCCAGCTCCTCCCCAGTACCTCCCATGATCTCTGGTTTGTGTCATCCATGGGTTCAAATGGCAAAGGTATGGTTTTTATTAGTCACGACCCCAGATCTCGAAAATACTCTCCTTTTCTAATTTCTCGCTGAGGGTTTCCTTTCATATGAATTTTCTCTCCCATTTCGCTCCACGACGGCTCAGTGAACGACCCACTGCAGAACGTTATGAACCAAGTGTTTCCTCARACATTCTCACAGCCATCCTGACAACCTGTTGGCAAACTGCCATTCTAAAATTGAAGTTTTTTTTACTTGAATGGCAGGTCAATTTCTGAAAATACCTCYGCACGAACCGACCTCTCGCATTTATGAGTTCATGTGATGTCTGTTCCACAATGCATTCTCACATATTGGAAAAACCAACTCATGCAAGCCCTCGCCTGCTCTCTTGCACACATCGCTCCAGATATGACGGTCCCTCTGTGAAGCCRTGGAGATTACGAATGTGTTAACGTCCAATTCATTTCCAGGCAAAGTTCAAAATATGTAGAATGGCTTTCACATTCTTGTCTTGCAAGAGGACAGTGTGTAACTTCACAGAACTTTATTGGTAACATTTGGCAAGCACATTCTTGGCCAAACAATAAGTCAGTTTACTAATATAATAATATAAAAGCTTCACTAATGTTCATAAACTACTCTGACTTCTTGCTTTGTTTTGTTTCCAGTTTTATGAATAACAATTTATTTGCAAATTTTATAAAATACTTTGCTTTACTGGAAGTCTATCCATTTTCAAATGATTAAAACAGGTCATTTCTTATTGGTGCAGATAACCAGAATCTTAGTAGGGCATCCATCGTTGTGCTGGCCTATACATTAKTTTTCATTGTTATTGTATGAGCACATGCAGATCATGTTTTAGCTTTGGATCAGGATGATTTAAAACTGCTAATAAACAGTTGCATACAGAGAGAAAATAAGCTTATTGTTTAGGAATTTGACTTTTCATTTCATGGTTAAAGGTGTTTACTTTTCATCAAATGCTCCATTTGAGAATGAAAAAAGCTTTGTAAGAGTCATTTAAAATCTTATTAAATTAATGGTCAGTGTTTAATTTTTGTTAAATAATAACATATAGTAACAAAGCTGTAAATATTACTATTTATGTTGTGAAAATCTTTTTATAAGAATCCAAACATCGCAGCTTTCTAACCTGAAGTATGAAACTATCAATTGCAGCTTGTAACACATTTTATGACTGTCTTACAAACCTCAGAGAAGAACCAGAGGCGAGGGCGTGGGGGATAATCATCTCCTGACAACAGCTATGATTTTTAGCTGTTTGAAAGCACAAAACGTAACAAACCGAATTCCTGCCAGAATCTTAAGCCAATCCACCTCTTGTATCAGTTTTGTGTTTATTATTTTTTGTGTGTTTAAAATTTACAAACTCCAGCCAGGTTTAGCGAACAGAACAAATTACAGCACATGCCGAGCTCCGCTTTATATCAACAAACTCACCTGGTTCAGACGCACTGCTCTGAGGTCATGAAGCCTCCCGGCTGGGAGGGTGGGCAGTGGGTGCCAGTAGGGGTCAAAGCTGGTGTGAACACATAACACTTACTGCACAGATTTAAAGGGAACCACGAGATCAATGGCACAAACATGTTGTTTCTGAGGATCAGAGTGAACTGTTTGTTCTATAGTTCATTTGCTAATGTGCTAATTATTTGTTTTATATGTTACACTTTATTGGACATTTTGGTCAACTAAAGTTGTTTTTAAATGAGCTATAGAAAAAAACGAAATCTTGATTAGGTATTGATAAAATAAAAATAATGTTTTATGACAGGTGAGTAGATATTGATCTGCTAGCTTTTCAATGGCAGGTGGCAAAGCTTTTTAAATGGCCTWTTTACTGTATGCATCCAATTTTTTGTCTTTTTTCAGTATAAATGCACATTTCAAAACAGTATTGAATTTTCATGTAGATATTAAAGGCAAATTTGRGCTAGGTTTTGTAGCAGGAATAGTTAATGGCTCAGAACCAATKCATTTGAATCAGTCAGACTTTAAGTGATTATTATTGTTCCTGCACAGCTAACTGCTTAAATTTGTGAGGCTTAAAAGATTCTGTCATTGAGACAGTGACCAAGTACATTGACTCACAAATTATAAATATGTTTAACAATAATAAAAATAACAGCAGCAGTCAAGTCTAAAGTTTCCATAATCCGGTCAACTTCCTGGTAGTTTTCTAAAAATGAGCCCTCATTGTGAAAAGCATGGGTTAACATGGTCTAATTCTTTTATTGATTATCTTGTTGTTTGAGAGACCCACATGGAGTGACAACAAACACTTTAGTGTCCAGCTGTGTGTGAAAGTGCATGTGTAAATCTGCTGCTGTGTGACTGCACATATGTCTGCATGAGATATGTTTCGTCAACAGATATAGTCCTTAATTCGTTGTGGTTTCACATTTGTGGTCTCATTGACTCAYTACACTCAGACATTAGACACACAAACACAGCGATGATTCAGAACACCTCAAGGTGTTTCCCAAAGTCACAGTACAGCATGTGACACAAAACCACATCAGTGAGCATTTCCAAAGAGTTTGATCAGATTGAAACAAAAAATTGTAACACTTGCAAAATGTAGTTGCAGGCTGTGTTCTTGTCTGATTGCTTCTGTGTGTTTATCTATGTCTGCACATGATGATCTGTTCAACTCCTGCCAGCTCAAGGTGTGTGTGAAGGAACACTCAGCTTTGCCTGGGTTTTTTTAGAAGATCGCATCCTTGTTCTGTCATAAACTCACGTCTGTCAGCACTTCAGGGACATGTAAATTACTTTTTTTTAACTTCTTTGACTAGCTGACAAGTCATGAGTTTCACAGGGTTCGTGTGCCCTTGTATGGGTTGTAAAGAGGTTACTGCAAC